TAACTTAGATGAGCAAGAAATGCTTTATGACTCTGAAGTATTTGTCCTTTATTTAAAGTTTCAAAAAAACCCTGACTTCTAATCAAATATTAGTATTTCCTTTATGTCATTTTCCCTCCATCTCCTTAAAAAACTATTAAACAAAAAAAGGGCAAGAATCTTTCCAGCATATCCTAAAATCTGAGCTATTCTGGACTAAAAGATTAGGCAGTGGGAGAAGAAAAAATCGTATTTCTTAATGCACAGCATAAATCATATCTTAACGCTGCCATTCTTCCACGTAATGATGCATACAGTGCCAGAAGAAAAGCCATTCCCCTCTTTTACACCTAATGGGAAAACGGTGAGAGTAAAGATCATATCTAAAAACTGTGTCCTTTAAAATCTAGTGAGGTCAGTCTGTGGGTAGCTCATACAGAAACTGCTCTCTTCAAGGCCCTTTCAAGGCTTGTCCACAACACAGAGCCAGCTCCACTAAATACCAGCGTGCTATTCTTGCCTTTTCCCCTGCCTCCCTGCAGTTCTGGGGCGCGCAGCAGCTCGTGTGCCCGCTCTCGCAGCCGAGGAGCAGGAGGGCTGCAGCCAGGTGCTCTGGCTGTGGCCAGCGCTGAGGCAACCCAGCGCTGCTGCGAAGCGGAAGGATGCTCTTTTAAGAGAGGGGACCTGCTGCTCCTCGGCATAAACTGCCTTTGCAAAGCTTGCTTCGCGCAGAGCCGAACACAGCGCTCCACTCTGCAGCTGCGGCACGCAGGAAAGTTTCCAGCGAAGGGGAAATTGAGCCTTCTTTAAAGATCAACCCACTGGTATGTTCGCACAGATCTACACTTTAACACGTCAAAGAGTTAAACTCGACTACGGTTTGCAACTGTTTATTTTATGAAGCATGTATAAGTGGAAACTCAGCTGCAGTGAGATATATGGTAGAACTGATTTCTTGATTTCTGTCGAATTTGTTTGCCCCAAATGGAGGCTTTCTCAGGCCAGGACATCCCTTCCAGTGTGATTAATACTGGCAAAGTGTTTTCTGTCCCTTAGGGCTGCCACAGTCAGCACCTGGCCATCCAAATGCATATTTACTGCATAACAAGAGATAGCATTGATACAGACACTCATCCACGGTGAGGAAACACGGAACGGGAGAATCCAGGGAAAAGTGTGTACCAAAGTGTTGCACAAAAGTGTACAAATGCTACAATAGGGTATTTACTTGAAAACATACATGTTTTATTGTAAATTTACCACAGAATAATGCCACTGGACAGGTGATACCATGTACATACTTACTGGAGGAATAATATTCTTCAGGTGTCCCTAGAGTAAATGCCTTAATTGGATTTTTTTTTCTTTTAGTTATAAAAAAACAAAAGTGTGTTTCACCTGGAAGCATATTGCACCTCACGTTATGAAAGAGGTTTTCTATAGTCTACATTTAGTATTAGAATTGGAGACACATGACATAAAAATATGAACTACTTCGTATCATTTAACACTGCATTTCCCAAATTCTTGGTCAGAGAATGAACTGGAAAAAAACCTCATCATCTTAAAAGAAAAGACTCAAACAATTTTTCAAATTGATTTCAAGAACTGGAATTTCACATACCTTTTGTAACATTTCCAATGTTAAAAAGAATTAAATGCTAAAAAGTTTATGATAGGGAAATTCTGATTTCTGAGAATTACACTGATTTAAGATTAACACAGTCATAACTTAACTTTCAGCTAAAGTTTTCCTAATTATTCAAGTGGTACAGTCTGCTAAACATTTAGCATATATTTTAAACCAAAACACGTATGTAAGATGAAATAATAAACTTAAATTGCATGTGCTCAACACTTTTTTTTAGGTCTGTTTCTTCACTAAAATTTGCTGCAATTGAACTGCACAGCTGTTAAAAACAAATGACATCTACAGTCATGAGGGATACCAAAGTTATTTACATGGAGAGATTGCACTGTTTTGGAATTATTTTTGTTGGCATTATAGTAGAGGTTCTGTGCCCGTAATGGGGGAAAGCATCGTATCTGTGGGCACACTGAAACAGTGCTATAATGCTAAAATCAAAACTTGCAGAATTATACTGCACATCATAGAAATATTTTTAATATATTGGCTTATACCACAAAAGTTTGTCTTTTTCCACTAGGACAATTTTAAAGTACTGGGGGGGAAAAATCAAAACAATTAGCTGAAACAACTGGCCTGTAGAGACGCAGCAAGGCTAGAGAAAGTTTGGCCACCATTCCACATCTAGCCACATCAGCAATGACTAAAAAAACCTACCACGTGGTAAGTGTTTAGAGACGCACGTAAACTAAGTGCATGGTTACGGAGATGTGGAAACTTGCCTTAAGCCACTGGCCGTGCCTGAGTGGCAAAAGCTCCTTCAATGGACACACCAAAACCAAAATGGGTGTGGAAAGGCAGCGCCGTGACACCCTGCTCTGCCGTTTCCCGAGGGGCAGAAAGGCCCGGAGCAGATCCCAGCCGGGGATCGGGCATATGGCTACCAGCCTGCGACAACGGCACGAGCAGAACCGCCGGCACCTGGGCTGTCTCGGAGCCTACGTTCCTACGTGCCACCTGCTTAGGTAACTAAGCAATCGCAGTAAGGACTTCAGACGTTGCAATTTTGGACTTGTACCCAGGACTCCTTCTTCAACCTCTCTTAAGCGATTTGTGTGACATCAGGTAGGAGCCCTGCACAGGGAACGCAACAGGTTTGCTTCCTCGAGGGGATTTTTCAGCTTCCCAAACCGTGAATCCCAACCCCATCTCCCTCCAGGGAGGCTGATAAAGCAGGGAACATCTCCCTGCTACTAAACAGCTCTGTTACATGACACAATCCCTGATTCATTTTCTGGGGTTGCTCCATGCCAAGGCAGGACTTTCAGAGGGGAAAAAAGCCATGTCACTTCTTTAAGGAAAATCCCAATACTGTCCCTATGGCCCCTCGCCCTAAATATACTGCGGTCAAAGAAAGTTTATCAGCCTAATTTAATCCAGGCATTTCTAAATGTTTGAGAGCTTGGCACTACAATATTTTTTCTCTCATATAGGAAATTATCATCAAAAACAATCTGGTGTTGGAAAATTTTGCCTAATAGTTAGAGAGAACAAAAAGGCTTTTGTTCCGAACCCAAGGCCTTCATTGATCTTTGTTTCCAAAAATCATATTCTTTGTCTTCCAGAGAAAAAAAGCTGAAGCAAACTGATTTGTAGTCAGAATAAAAACAAGGAAGAATCCCAGAAAAAAAGTGAATATTTTCCCCCTAAAGCAATGTTACTGCTGTTGCGATCCTAGAAAATTATTTCAAAAATATAAATACGCAAAAGTGCTCATAATCACAGAGGGGGGAAAAAAGCCACCACTTATCCTCATCCACAAAACAAAATGCTTTTCAGAATGATAAAAGAGGAGTCACTTGAATATTCTTTCTAATACAGGTTTACAGAAGTTGCTCGGTATCCTGTTTGCCCTTGCTCCCAATTCTTTCATTACAGAAATGGGTTGTAGGGAAGGTGACGACTCTGCTTTCCGAAGCGAAGGACGCGGCCCCTGCTGCAGCAGGCACGGAGACAGAACCGTGGCGGAAATTCTCGAACATATCTGTACTGCGTTTGGAGTCCCTGCAGACTTCCTCAGCTTAGCATAACACTATTTGGTGTTGTACTAAGCTTGCTGGAAAAGCCTCACTTCTATTTCTTTAAAACTATACTCTAGTTGACTGTCTTTCTGATTCGGAGCGCAGACCTCTGTCCGCTACGGAAAGAGAATCCCCTCTGGGAGCTGGGTCTCCAAACAGCTAGAGAAACTTTCAGGCGCTGCTTGGTCTGCTACGTTTGTACTGAACTGCTGTAGCCAGGGCTACCCACGAACCCTGGAGGGTAACAAGCACCATGCTCGTTACAAAGAAAAATGACAGTTTATAATTAGTTTATTTCCCAACTGGGAGTTTGCCCTCCCTAATCTGTTTCAGACGCAGGAGTAAAACTCAGCCATGCTCGCAACAAAAACAGAGTTCATGTAGCTCGCAAAACCCCTACTGTCAGAAAGACAAGGGCTATTTGTATCGGCGAGGAGGCGAGGGTCCCTGAAACACAGCAGTCAGTAGCCCAGGTCCCAGGCATGACTCAAAGATGACTTCTGAAAATCCCCAGCCCTTAATGCCTGGCTCAGAGGCCCTCTGTAAACCATTAGAAACGAAGGGAGCTAAACTCCCATATCTGATATTGTCAGCGCTGAGGGTCTCCACCACCTATAAAAACATGCAGGGGTAAGGGGCGACTGAGTGCAAGGGCCTCGGTTCCCTCCTCCAGTTCTTCTGACTTCAGCTTCCTTGCAAGCACGCAAGCCTGTGTCCACATTGCCCTACAGAAAGCTATTTCCTGGTACTCTTTTCCTGTAAAAAATAAGGAAACAAGGCAACCCAAAGAAGTAGCATCAGCTGTTTCCATCCTGTTCATCTCTTTCTCCCCGGGAGCGAAGGGATATGATGCCCATCTAGACTAAGCCCTGAGGGCATCCCTCTCGCTTGCAGCCTCAGACAAAGTCCTCAAAGCCACTGCAGAGCACGAGGCACGCTCTTTCTTCTGCTGCCGACTTTTCTCCTCCTGGATCTTTCCTGTATGCCAGCTGCCACAAATGATTCAGATGGGAAAGCAGAGTCAAGGGGATAATTTCCACCTAAAATTAAACGCAGCCCTGAGACTTCAACAGAAATTAGAGGGATATTTAACTGAGTTGCCAGTTTAAGAACTGAAATAAAGTTTGACATTCATCAAGAAAGCTCTGAAGCATGGGAAAACAACAGAGCAGTTGTCACTGTAGTGGCAAAGAAAACTGAAGGAAGTACAGTCCAGGCTTAAACTTTGACATTTGCCCAAAGATCTGAAGTTATAATTTATATGAGAAAGTCATTCACATCCTCTGGTACAGCAACTGAGACTCGTTTTTCTGGCTGGTAAGCATAAGAATAGAAAAAAGAGAACGTGTTACCTTGAATGTCATCATTGAAAGTGCAATACTTGTTACGGTACTTATTCAGAAGGCGGAATGCATTAGCATTAGCGAAATCCTCAAACTGAATGAGGCAGTTCATGCCATACCTAGAATGACAAAAAATTGTATGTTTATATTAAAAATAATACATAACTGTACATGAAAAACTTACTAACCTTTGCAGTCACTCTCTGAATTCAAGTGTAATATGACTTATACATATAGTTACATGTTTCTGTTACATTCTGTATCTTTGTATTCATATAAATTCACTAGAAGGCATAATTAGACTACTGATATGCCTTACTGGCTTCTAAGTTAAGAATAAAAGATTGTGGGGTAAGGCCTTCATCGCTTTGCAGACATCTCTGCAGAAGTCTTCACGAGCAATCAGCTAATGAGCAAAAAAATTTCAACTCACAGAGAAGGTAATGAAAAGTAACACCTTCAGAATGTGGATTTTATTTTAACATCATTATGCAGGTCAGCAGCATGATATCACTCACACTAACCTGCTCGATCATTCTTCTTACCACAAAAAAAGCATTTAGCAGAAACAGTTAATCTAGACAAGCAATAAAAATGTGAGAACAAACAAAGGAAGGAAAATGACAGCTATAAATTTGAATTTTGTTTCAGTTAGTTAACATATACTACATCTTTGGGTGTATATAGAAACTACCCTATCTAAATCTGTTACATCTACTCTTTGACTGGACTCTCAAAACTGATTTTCTGAAACTAATTCTACACGTTTCTTAAATAGTATGCTTACAGTCAATGTTATCATCCATTTCAATGTTTTTCATCCACCTAGCTAACGAAATAATTCAAGCTGACATGTCCTATCACACTTTGCAATCTTTTGTATATGCTATATTTTGAAAACAGAAGGGGCAGCTGCATCAGATGAACCATTTATATGATTTAACTGACATGATTATCAAAGTCAGTTCAACAGCCTGGGCAAGTAACTCTTGATTAAGCCTGAGGTAAGTCTCATACGAAATATCTGTAACGTTTCTTGAAAACAATTTGCTTATTTGTATGCACCAATAGTGACCACAGAATCAAAGTAAAAGAGAAACTTGCATATAAAAGAGAAACTTGCATATAAAAGTTTTCAGTGAGAGACTATTTGGCCAGTTTAATGAACCTGCTCCCAAATGATGCTCCACAGCTACTGCAGGCAACAGCATTTACAGGACTAACGAGATGGTGGAGTTCAGGATCCTACGAGGAGGGAGCAGGGCAATGAGTAGGATTGCAACCCTGGACTTCAGGAGAGCTGACTTTGGCCTCTTCAGGAACCTACTTAGGGGAATCTCATGGGGTAGGGCCCTAGAAGGAAGCGGAGGTCCAAGAAAGCTGGTTAATATTCAAGCGTCACCTCCTCCAGGCTAAAGAGTGGTGCATCCCTCTGAGGAAGAAGTCCAGCAAAGCGGGCAGGAGACCTGCAGGGATGAGCAAGGAACTCCTGGCCAAACTCCAACAGAAGAAGGAAGTACACAGAATATGGAAAAGGGGACAGGCCACGTGGGAGGAATATAGGGACGTTGTCAGGGTGTGCAGGGATGCGACAAGGAAGGCTAAGGCCCAGCTGGAATTAAATCTGGCAAGGGATGTCAGGGACAACAAGAAGGGGGTTCTTCAAATACATCAATAGCAAAAGGAAGACTAGGGAAAACGTGGGCCCGCTGCTAAATGGGATGGATGCCCTGGTAACGAAGGATACAGAGAAGGCAGAGTTGCTAAATGTCTTCTTTGCTTCAGTCTTCACTGCTAAGGCCAGCCCTCAGGAATTCCAGACCTTGGAGACAAGAGAGGAAGGTTGGAGAAAGGAAGACTTTCCCTTGGTCGAAGAGGATCGGGTTAGAGATCTTTTGTCCAAACTTGACATCCATAAATCCATGGGCCCCGATGGGATGCACCCATGAGGGCTGAGGGAGCTGGCGGATGTTACTGCTAGGCCACTCTCCATCATCTTGGAAAGGTCCTGGAGAACAGGAGAGGTGCCTGAGGACTGGAAGAAAGCC